AGGAATCCCTTTCACCTTGGCGAAACGAAAAAGTTTTACTACTCCTGAATTATAGCTCTTCAAAGTACCGTTCCCCCAAGCGCCTCGTAAGTAATGTTGTTTCACTTCATCTATCTCTGAGTCATCGATTCCTAACGCGTTTTTCTTGAAGGCTCCAAAAGGATTCGTCACCTTCTTCAGTACTTTCAAGCTCTGCATCCTGCTAACACGCCAGAACGTCAGTCAAATCCATTCGCAACATTCTACGACTGTACCACTTACATCAAGATCTATTCAGACGAGTGGGAGCTCTTGTTTCTTCTTTGGGGGGAATACCTGCCTCAGCAGCAACGTTAAGTCTTGAGGAACTTCTACGATAACCTCATTGAACCACATCAGATCTCCGATCCAGCCCCTTGACAGCCCATCAGCATCGTTATCGTTTGATATCACTCGTCTCGCGTCGATATCACAGGCTAAGGACGTAAGTAGACGCTGTATGTATTTCCATTCTTCATTTACATTCTCATCTTTCGATTTTCGCTTTCTAACTGTTGATTGGGATGTTGTATTGTCCGTCCAGACAATGAACTTCTTTCCTCCGACATGTCTCAACCTGCTTAGCACCACCAAACCTAATCGAATCGCCAGAGTCTCAGCCCAAGCGATTGACCTTCTGCCTTCCGACAGGCCTACCGTTTGCCAATCTTCTACAAACTCGAAACATGCCCATCTCTCTCCAATCAGGATTCCTATTCCGAAGGAGGAGGAAGCATCCCCTACCCACCCCACTTCTTCTGCTCGTGGGGAAGGTATTAGAACGCGTGAGTTAAAAGAGAAAAGACACCTCTTCCATTCCTCTAAGTCTGGCTTAACATAATCTGGTGTATGGCGTAACGCTGATTTATTCACCCATTCCTTGAGCCACTTATAAAAGGACCTCATATAAGCCTTCATGTGCGGAACGATGTAAACTGTGTGAACCAACTTCCCTAAAAAACTTTCTATGGTGTTGAATGCCCAAGGTTCTGTAATCGTAAGTAGATCCACAATGAGTTGCTTTCTTTCTCTTAACTTTTCTTCTGGAAGTCTGACAGTATGATCTCTTCCATTCCAAATGAAACCCACATAACGTTGTTCAGACGCGAATTCATGATTCTTCGCCGGATTAGTCTGTACACCCAAACTATTGCTTAACGTTGTCACATCCGCCAATGACGCGAGCTGGCCTGGACATCGAAATATCAAATTATCGTCTACCCACCTAAAAATCATCGGGAAGTTGAGGATCTTTTCAATGATGATTTTCCACACGTGTGCTGGGGCTCCAAATACCCCACAGCTCGCCACACCACCGAAACCAATCGCTAAATCTACCCAGATCCTTCCCAAGAAATCAATAATACACAAAAACCGTCTCTGACTAGGGTGCAATGGTAACTGCCTATAGGCCTTCTGCCAATCAAATATCGCTAGTTCCCATTCTCCTGGGTTATTTTGAAAGAATAAAGCCACCTTATCGAAATCATCCCAGTAAGTTCCGTAATTCAACTTATTTACAAAAGAATTTACAGAAGGAACTCCTCCTTTGTCTTTCGGAAATGACAAGTCGTTGACCATCCTGATTGACCCATCTCCGTTCACCGCACTTCCCATCGGATTTGTTCTGAAGAACCCGAATTGTTGGAATACTTGCTCGTGAGTAAATGGTCCGGCGATTCTACCAGCCCGGAGTTCTTTTGCTAAAGTAATTTCTATCTGATCTCTAGCTAAACTTGCTGATCGATGATTCTCCGGCGTGTACCACGAAACACCTTCAATCTGATGTTGAGGTATCCCAAGGCAAAATCCGTTCTTGAACCCATCGGTGATATAAGGTATATCTCTTTCTAACCCTACCTCCTTCATCAATTCAGCCCACTCAGCGATTACCATCTTACATGAGACTGGCGCCGGCCACATATTTTGTACCGGCACGGCGAATATCTTCCTTTGCCAAAGAGGTATTGGTTCTTTCGACTTCCGCACTACAGCTTCCTTCTCTTCCTCATCCGAGGTGATATCACTCGATTCCTCTGATCTCTCTCTCTCTCGATCACCTCCTTCGAACACAAGATCTCTTGACTCTACAAAATCTCTCGGCAAACTCAAGGAGGTATCCCTAGAGTGGTAGAACGACTAAAGGAAACAAATTTTCTTTCTCAGAAACTATACTTCTTCTATTTGTTGATTTCAAATTCACAACGTACTATGTATCACAGAGGTTTATATGACAACAAGAAAAGGTTAGAAATCAGGCAACATCATCACATCCGTCCCCAATGTTCCCACACAGTACACGGAAATCCAAATGGGCCAACCAAATCACATCAAGCTTATGTCAGAAAAACTTCACCAACAGCTGCTTTCTGCAGAGAGAAAACTTACACGTTTTGATTTTCTGTAGGTTTCGTCGCTGCCGAACCCTGTCCGGCTGGTCCTTGTTTAGCGTTCTTATGATAATAAGGCTTCAACGCTTGGGTTGGAAAGGACGATGAGGGGCCCGGATGATGCGAATCTCCCCCTGCTGTACCAGAGAAATGAAAACGAAAAAGTGTTAGTCCTCAGACCACTCCGAACAAATCATAGAAGTCCTACAACTAACCATTAAGGTTTTCCCCCACATTATTGTTCTTATTGTACCGGTTCTGGGAGAAGTTGTTCTTCTTAACATACGGTTTTCTAAAACTGCCTCCACCTCGTTTCCCGCGCTGGACTGACGTAGACGACTCCACTACCTTTTCAACTACCACGGGAGCTAGCGTCACCACCTGCCTACCCGTTGAAAAACTAAACCCGTATTTCGGACCTCCTTGGGCATAAGGATTGTCTACAAATTGCAAATCTCCAGCTCTATCCGCTGCGAATCTGGCTTTATCCACTACCGATTGTTGCACTCCATCAGGTATCTTAACTATATCCTTCAATATCGTCTTGCCTTTGACTTTAGTTTTAATCAACTTTCTCCTTCTGAAAATGACAGTTCTGATCTTCAAGTGATAACGTAGTCCGATCATCCAACAATTATATTGTTTCTTCAAATCAGATACAATCTTCTTATGTTTCACAACATAATTGGCATACGTCTCCAAACCATAGATTTCTCTCGCATACCTCTCTTCTAAATCACACATTTCTATAAAATCTCCATACGTAAGTTGTTTTTCTAGAGCTTTAAGAGAATTCTTGGATATTTCTAATTTCTTTTTATCTTTATCTTTCTTCTCTTCATCTTCATCATGAAAACTTTCTAACAGAGCAGTGTTGAAGAGAGTCAAAGGTACATAAGCTCGTAACTTCCTAAACCCTTTGTCCCATTTGTCCGGTAAATCTGGGAGGTCTGCTGAATCGAAAGCCGACACATCATAGCCTAGCTCCGCCTTGTCGACCACATCGGAATCATCTGAGCTGTCCTCCGACGTAGAAGAATTCTCTGACGAAGAAGGTGACGAGTCGTTGTCTGAATTTGAAGGTTTCCTCTTCGACTTTTTCTTCTTCTTTTTCTTAGGCTTCAACACCTCTGAGTCATCGGAGGACGGGCACTCATCTTTTTTAATTTGGTCTTGGTCTCGGATCTGAAGCGATCGAATCCTCGGAAGAAGACGAAGAA